AATATCGGCGTCGGAGACGGGAGACACGACGGGAATTAGCGAGACATGTGAATTGTTAAGGGATATAGGAGGTTTGAACTGGCATTTGGGAGGCATATTAGTTATGGGTCGGATATAATCATAGGTTTTGGGATGGCTCATTGTCAGGGTGTGGGAGTCATTGTCCGATTGTCGGCGATGTGCCGGGATTACTCGATCTGGTTTATCCGAGCAGAGACAAAATGGAATTACGAGTTGCCAAAGGGCCGAAGTGGCGGTCAGAGGCGAAACATTCCCAGGTTTTTTTTTTTTTTTTATCGCATCACATGGCATTTCGTTCACGTGAACAGCGGAGCAGACCAGAGCATCCCGATTCTCTCCTTGCGAATCTCGGGATGATGAGGCCGAGGAAGAAAGAAGGCAGCAATTAGCAGCCTAGAGCATGACTGTTCCTCCAGGCATGAGTAGGATTGTGATGGTGATGGGGAAAGGGAGGCCTCAGGCTTTGACGCCTGCCTCGGTATGGGCTTCGCGGGCTTCATGGCCTTGGACTTTGTGGGCATTTGGGCTGTATGTGGGCATGTCTCGGGCATCACAAGCCCACCAGCCACTCTCCCACCCACCCAAGCACCCCTCCCCCTTGAACCCCCCACCAACGCAAGCAATTTCCTCGTCTCTGATGTCCTCGTCTATCGTCTCCCCCCCCCCCATCGATCTGATCGCACGCACATCTTTTCCCGATTGCCTCGCTGCACTTGTTTGAATGCCATGTTTGTTGCTCTGTTACTTCTCTTTGTCCAACCCCACATTCTTTCGTATTTCGCAATTGATCATCACCAGCATCATCATCGTCGTCTATCATGGTCAAGTTCAACATGTCTCATCGATCGATGGGGGTCACCTTTCATCCCTTTGCCCACTTTTTCCCGTTGGCCTTCTGGCTCTCTTTTCCTCTTCTCTGGAGTCATTTAGGCTGAGGGCAGCCTCGCCCGCGCCCTACTGACTCAGCTTGCGCTACCGAGCCCTCTTATCCCCGTTACAATGCATGGTTTGATTTTCTTCCGAGGTGGGGAGTACCGTAGTACCGCGAGGTAGCTGGGCCGCCGTTTGCCGCTCTGGAGGGAGATGGATGGTACAGACCAGACCTCTGGATTCCTCTCTCGTCCCTACATAGATAATACTATTTGATCCTTCCTGGCCGACTCCCTTCGCTTCTCGCTTCTTTTGGCACCTTTTCTGCCACCTCCCACGCTCTCAGTCCTTTCAGTCTTTGCACCCCCAAATCTTCCTCGACTGCCGTGGGTGCCCTTGTCCAGCTTGTCCACCTCGATTCCCCCCATCTGCAACAAAGAAAGAAAAGTGGACTGCATCTTTTGCTCTCCAAGCAGAATTTCGAGCAAAAGCCACCGCTTTCCCCTCCTCTCCCTTGTTGGCTTCTTCCAACTCGGCCTTCATCCCACACAGATACCTGGATCCTTCGATACCTGGATGCCTGGATACCTGATCTCTTGACACCTTAAGCCCTTGAATCTCCGAACTTACCCATCCCACAATCTACCATCTCCTGGCAAATCAAACAGGCTGGACAGCTCTGTCAGAGTGTCTTCACATGTCTCACGCACCAGTCTCCATGTGTCACCCTGGATGAAAACTCCATCACCTTCCTCCTTACGTCCTCTCCCTCACCGACACCGCGCGGCGACGTCTCCGTAGCACAATTTTCACAGCCAGCTCTGTCGGCTTTACCATACAAGGGAGATAGCTCTCCATCCGCCCGTGTCCGTCTAAACCCGCCACCAACCGCATTCCATTCGCACGGCTGCCCCTCCCACCTTTGCCATTGCCATTGCCATTGTGTCTTATTTTGCTAGCCTTCCCCAGACATCAAACACGAGAAGACGGCACAAACTCTGGCGAAATTACACCCTCCGTTCACGCCTCAGGCCTGTCTCTTTTGAGCCTTTTCGCCGACCCTTGGATCTTGCTTCCGGATTGCATTCATGTGTCACCGCACCTTCTCCCTCCTCCCCCGGTGACCTGTCTTCTGCGTGGTGTTTCTTCCCCGTCCGAGGGAACAAAGAACCAGCACACGAAGACAGGAGAGGAGAGGGAGTTCTTTTTCTACCATGTACAGAAATTCGGCGCAGCTAAAATGCATTCCGCCCAACGCCCTCCCTTCGCCCGACAACACCAGCGACTCTGACTCGGAAATCCTCGATGCTCTCGACCAGAAGAGAAGGCAGTTAGACGACGAGGTGGCCAAGTTCAAGGCTGCAAAGGATCGCGAGTTCCGTGAGTTTGAGAAGCAACTATGGATCACCAAGAAGAGTTCTCGTGCCGGTACCCGTGCCGCCAGCGACTCCCAAGGCACGCCCGCCAAAACTGCATCGACACCTTCGGCGACGTCTTCTGCCTTGAGCCTGTTGGCCTCGACACAAAATGGTTCTGCAAATGGCTGGCCAGGCTACAAGGTGAAAAAAGAGGGTGTGGCAGCTGGTGACAAGGTCAGAAAACCGGCACCGCTAAGCGGGCCGACGCTGTCCTTGGAAAAATTGAATATCGCAGGCGAAACCACGCCACCTTTGCATACACTGGGAACTCCTCCCACGCCCTCGATCCTAACTCGGACAAGATCCCGTTCCCCCATTTTAAATGCAGCGGCACGGCCGACGACGCCGCCGATGCCCGCACAGTTAAAGAGTGAAGAAGCTCCGCCCTCGTCTACTCCTACGCCTTCAAGAGATCGATCCGACCCCTTTGCCGGTGTGTTTACGCCCATGTACCTGCCCCTTTTAGAGTCACGCGATCGCACTCCGATCGTGCGGAGTCCGCAGCCCATGGCCTCCGCGGAAGAGGAGGAGAAACGACTGCAACTGGATGCAGACTCCAAAGATCGGGCGGACCAGCTGTGGAAACAGCAGGCCAGGTCGTCCCAGTCGCTACCGCCGCAACCAGTCTCGCCGTCCGTTGTGGCAACCAAGCGCGCCCAGTCGACGTCCGTTTTGCCAAGTGCAAGTCTCCCCAGTGCGTTGAGGAGTGCCAGTGGCGGAGGAAGGAGGCGGAAGCATGTCATGTTCCAGTTGGCCGATCTTAAGGTCGTCGATCCGAGCAGTAGTTACGAAGAAGGGCCGAGTCCGGAGTTGGAGGGCGAAAACGACGTGAACGGAGAATCAGAACACCGAGTTCTCAGGGTCGAGGAAGAAGGGGGCCAAGGTAATGGTGGGAGGGAGAATGGGAGCCCCGGATCACTGAGTGAAAAAGAGAAGCGCCGAGGGAGAGGACGAGGAGGACGCTTTATCTCGCCTATTCCTTCCCCATCGGCGAGCCCAAGTCCGAGCCCATCACCATCTCCGGCCCTGAATGGAAGTTCACCCTCGCCCTCCCCAGTGCAGTCTCCCCGTTTAATATCTTCACCCGACCAGTCAGGGTTTTCTGGTGGTCTGTTTGGCGCCGAGGACGGAGGCAGCGGTGTTGGGTTTTTCGAGCTTGACGAAGAGCTGGCCAGCCCGGCATTGAGAGAGGGAAGACCGGTGGACGCGTTTGATCTCGAGATTGAGGAAGAGATTAGCGAGAAAACGGACAGAGATGTCACGGACACCGGTGAGAACGGACTGGGAATAGTTCCCTCGGTCCAGGTGGGGAGCGTTCCCATTGACATTGTGAGGCCCAGTGGGAGTTGGATCGGGAGCTTTGGACACTGAGGTGAGAGGACAAGCTGGGCCAGAAACAGGGGGAGAAAGAAAAGAAAAGGGATGAAGCAAGGTGTAGATCGAAGGACACCTACACCATCTAATCCCTCCAGGAAGTAACATATGGGGGTTTCCAGATCCCCCTGACCGAAAGTCGGGAGCCTTGGGCCCTCCTGGCCGTATTCTCGGTTTGTGGCGTTTGTCCTTTCGACTGCGTATTTCGGGCGGCATATTTTTTTTTCGGTCTCGTTCTTACCAACAACTACGACTATTGCAGGGGGGGGGGGTTCTCTTCATCTCTCCCCTCGCAGGTTTTCGGACGATCTGGGTGGCTATTGTGAGCGATTTTTGTCCTCATTTGGGAACCGTTTGATCCCGCACAGCTGTGCTGTGATGTGCTCTGACCTTGTCACGCTAAAATACAATGCGATGACACCAAGAAAAAAGGGATTCGAGGGAGGGAGGCTATCTGTCTGTCTGTTTTTGTAACTTGGCTTGAGTTCTGGATTCTGGAGTGAGGGGGGTGGGCCGGCGGCAAAAGTCCACAAAAGATGATGCGAATGTGATGGCGATGACCGCCATGCTCTGCGATGCTTTACGCATGCGATACGACTCCTTTGATTCGAGGAAATGCGATGCACATGCATGGAAAGACGATGGAACCGGTTTGGAGATGGAAATGGAAGGGGAACAGAGCGACGTGTATATCTCACATATCGTCCTAAACATATATTGTGCCCAGCCAACATGACGCGATATGACACGAGAAGACAGGACACGGATCCCTCTATTCCTATACCTATCTCGCTATGTACTCGATACCAACCTAGAACTTTCATGCCGGTCTATTTAATTACTAGCGCACCCACCGAGCCACCTACTTACCGCATAGTACAGTACAGTGTAGTATAGGATACATCGACCTAGAGACTGCAGATTATCGTTCTTTCTCCGACCTAACTTGGACCCTCTCGGTTCCATGTCGCTCCGTCTCTTGCCATGAACATATGAAGGACGAGGTGGGCGAGACATCCAATGTCATCACGTGATCGTTTAATCTTATTGAGGAGTGCTGGCGGGGGATGCTAAGATCCTCGAGATGGATTCCGGTATGACTTCATCCGAGTAGATTCGTCAAATCTCAACAAGTCTTAGTCGATGGCATGAATCCCGTGTCTATAGCTGCATCATCGCAGCATCCCAGGGGTCGATACGCATGAGTGGTTTCATCGGATGGCCAGTCACTGGACGTCCATGGTAAAAACCCACCACTTTGGCCACAACCCCAAAAATATACAAAACAATAGGTCTTCCTGAGTTCTCATTCTGCAGATGTCGGCAAGACTGGCGGCTGGCTTACCCTCGACTCTCTTCATGATCTTCTCTTTCTTCGGCGCGCTTTGGGGCTACTGGGCCATCCTCAAGCACACCTCGCTCGTCACGGCAGCATTTTCAACATCCCCTGCTTCGGCTCAAGCACCGCTGGCTGGCTCCCCTGAAGCACTGAATCCCAAGCTCACCAATATCATCGGCAAGGATGTCATCACGCTCTACTACAACGGTACAGGACCAGTTCCTGCCTATGACAAGAAATCACCTTTACCAGAGCCCATCACCCCTCTGGGCGAGTCGGCGGTTGAGGAGTCGATTCTCAACGAGTTGCTCTCCATCCTTGACACTCCCTACTATCCAGACACTTGCTCAAAGTGCATGGCAGCGGGCCAAGTTCTCCACATCGCAGCCATCAGTCAGCCAGTGGCTACCTTCATAAATGTGCTCATCAGAGCCTGCAATGCTGTCCCAGAGTTCAAGTCAAAACTCCGAGCCGCGTCCTGCGAGTCTCATTTCAGCGGCGGGTCCGGATACGGCCCATACATGGCGCAGCTCTTTTCGAAGATGAGTCTCGCCACGGGTGACATGCAGCATTGGTGCTCCGTCAACTACGAATTTTGTGAAGTACAACCTCCAGTCCTGATCGATGAAAACTTCTACTTTGATCCGAAACCGGAATCAGCAAACATGGCACCAGAACCCTCCGGCCACACCTTCAATGTGCTCCATCTCTCTGACTGGCACCTGGACCCTCGATATGACATTGGGTCCGAAAGCAACTGTTCAGACTACCTGTGCTGCAGGCCATACTCGGTCAACAGAGAGCTGTTCACCGATTCCCACAACGCTTCGGTCCCGGCTTCGAGGTTTGGATCGTTCCTATGCGACTCTCCTGCCGATCTGGCGCTTTCAGCACTCGTAGAGCTGCCCAGGGTTTTGGACATGGACGAACTTGCCTTCAGTATATTCACGGGTGACATCGTCTCGCACGACCCAGACGACCTCCTCTCACGTGATTATGTATCCTACGAGGAAGAGGTGACTTTCAAAATATTTAAGCGTCTGCTTGGGGATAGAATCCCTGTATACCCTGCTCTAGGGAACCATGACACTCTCCCAGTCGGCTTCAACACGCCCCACAGCATGAATCCCGACCCCACTAACCGAAGCAGCAACATCCTGCAGTGGAACTACGACCTTCTTTCCTCGCTGTGGTCGGGCCATTCGTGGCTGAACGACACAGAAGCCGAGTTTGCACGTACTCATTTTGGTGCCTACGCGACCACCACCTCTCAAGGTCTACGCATCATCTCGATCAACTCGGACTTCTGGTACAAGGAAAACATCTTCAATTACTGGAATGTGACGAACCCGGATCCAAGTGGGATCCTCAAGTGGCTGGCGGATGAACTGTCGGGGTGCGAGAAGAGAGGCCAGCGAGCGTGGATCATCGCCCATGTGCTCTCGGGGTATGATGGCTCCTCACCTATGCCGAATCCAACAGCTCTCTTCTATTCTATCGTGCGCCGCTTCTCGCCGGCGACAGTCGCGGCAATCTTCTTTGGGTGAGCCTGGGGCATTAACCCCAAACTATTGTTCATAATGCTAGGACTACACACTAACTTCTCATACAGGCATACACACCAAGACCAAGTGCAAATCTTCTATGACTACCTCCCTTCCTCCTTTGTCACCAATTCCGACCCGAAAGACCCCAAAGCACTCCGGGATACGACGCAAATAGACATCACCAAGCCCTTGCAAATTGGACACATCGGCCCTTCCATAACACCCCTCACAGGCCTCAACTCAGGGTACCGAGTCTACCAGATCGACAGCGAGACATTCTCCGTGATGGGTGCGCAAACATACTTTGCAAACATGTCCAACAGCCTCAGCTGGACGAAGCCGGTCTGGGAATTCGAGTATGACACGCGGCACGTCTACTCGATCAATGCGGATTTGGAGACTGCCCATGAGGATGAAAGGGTGGCGCGCGACGACGACATCGCAAGCACAAGCCCGTCGCATGGCCACGGGATCCCCTGGCCCGCGTCGTCGCCCCTGAACGCCACCTTCTGGCATCTCGTAACCGAGAAAATGCTGAATGACTCCGCCTCCGCCTCCTCCACCCCCACAACACGTGACAACGGCGGCGATGGCGACAGCGACGATGACAATAAACCCAAATCGCCCCTCCTGGACCTCTACGAGCGCCACGAGTCCAAATCCAGCTCCCACCCGGAGCGCCGGATGAGCGGCGGCGCAAACAATCCAGAACAGAAGGTGTGCTTCTTACGCGCCGGCAGCGGCTATCTGGGACACTACTGCAAGGAGAAATACGGCGGTGGCGACGCGAGGTCTCTGCGCGAGAGAGCCTTTGACGTGAGGTGACGTGAGTTCCACACCTAGGTGTCGGGCTGGTAGATCTGGGTCTGTCTTTATGTGCGTAGAGGATAGGGCAAAGGGGAAAGGGGAGCGGAAGTAGAAATAGAAAGGATATGTAGACAGCAGGGCGGTCTGTCTAGAAAGCGGTACCATCGTCTCTCCCTCGTCCTCGGCTCGCAGGCGCGGAGCTAAGAAAGACCGAAACAAAAAGAAAACAAGACTGAGAGAAGGAAAAGATCGCGACACACAGAAAGGTAAACTGTGTTGATGGCACCAATGGAGCATATTGCTGGCTTTATGGAAGAACTCAATGCTGGTCAACGAATAATCTGGGGTATTTCCACCCCAGGAAGATTGCGCTATCAAGGTCAAATAATAAAGGCACGCTAGTTATGATATAAACGGCCGTTTCGTTGGGAATTGAAAAGAAAACGATCCCCCTCCTCCCCCCCCCCCCCCAAAAACTGATCAACTCCGTACCCAAGGTAGGACGACATGGTCCAAATTTCACGGGTCGCCGATGCTTGTCAGGGAAGAAATATCAGCTCATAAACTCCAGGGACGCCTCGCTTGGATTCGGTAACCAGGCCATTGATTGTTAGATGGATAGATCGGTAGGTGGGTAGGTTGGCTCATTCAGTCGTGACAAGTTGTTCGCTCCGGGTCGGCACGCGTGTCTTGAACGTTACAGACATCAACGAGATCCGGTGGCGTCGCTGTCCTCCTTCTTCCTCCTGCCTCGATGGACGATCTCCTTCGCCGTCTGCGTGATGCTGATACTGCCAAAAAGCCAGTCGTCGCTGTGGCGCCCATACCCGCCGGGCGAGCTCCCGCTGTGGCGCGGTTTCTTTTGGACCCAGCTGTCTCGTTTCTGAAGGTCTGGAGACGATGGGCTCATGGCTGAAGGGGAGATGGCGCTGTCGGAGGCTTGTCTCTGTGTCCTTGGATGGTCACCGGAAGGGCTTTGAACCGGCAGTGGAGAAGTCTGGGCGTGCTTGATGGTCGTGGACGTGGGAATGGAAAGGTCTATTGGTGGTGGCCTCGGGGACTTGGATCGTGACCTGGGAAAGGGGAAGGGGAAGCTGAGATGACCTTTCGTCGAGGGTGACGAGGACTGAGTTGACAATGGAGAGAGTGTGTTTGTTGGGGACAAGGTCTTTGAAGCTGTGATTGCATAATTTGATCCGTCGCTTGAGCTTCGACCCTTCATATCCGGCCTCTGTGAAGGAGTAGCTGGTGTCGGTGTTGTTGTTGGGTTGGAGTTCATTTCAACGAGATTGGTCGATGGCGAAGAATGTGCAGGATGCGAAGCCGTGAACAAGCACTTTGACGGGCTGAAGGATCACGAACGTGTTCATGAAACGGGGGAATTGAATGATTTATTTACTTTTCGATTGAGGACGGTCTTTGATACCACTTACGAAAGTACCTGGTGTCATCATTGGACTTAGCGGATTCGGCGTGTCCATGAGATCAATGTGCAAGCAGCCCTGCATCTGCACGCCTCCAGGTATGATGATCAGATGAGGGACCATTCGGCAGCCAAGAACAGACTGAACATGCGATGGACCTCGAGGGGTGTTTGCGCGGTCGGGGGAAGCGAGGACTGATCAGTGATCAAGGCAGGGTGTGGCCAAAGCCCGGTTGCTGCTGTTCAGTGTTCACCAAGACTGCCCCCGTGCATTTTGTTGGACTCTGAACTCCTTGTCGAGTCCATTCCCTCTGTCTTCTTTGGACCGTTCATCCAATCAACCTTGGCCACATTCCACAGGCCAGGCTGGCGAGCACCTGTCTCTTGTCACATGTTTCCTCGACTCTGCTCACCGGTTTGGAAAGCCTCCGCCTAAGACTGGCTGAAAAAAAGCCGCCACAGGCATCTGCGTCTACAAGCCAGACCAGGCGAACACCCCGCGCTGAAACCAACCGCCATGTTAGCCCCAGATGAACCGAACGTGGTGGAGCCCCTTTTTCAGCCGCACTTTTGGGAGTCGAACGTTTGAATGGTAATTATGGAGATGAGCAGCATTTCGTGGAGGCCCTCGTACATCAGAGTCGGAAGCGAGACCGAGGACGATCAGGCAAAGCAGATTCCAGTCGAGCGCGTTGCCCGCTGTCCGTCTCTGGCTCAAGTGAAAGGGCAGTTGGCCACCGGTGTCCAGGGTGGGATTGGCACAGAAAAGACTTAGCTGTTGCTGTGGACTTGGATAGACGTGCGAAAAGGCCACTGCATACCGAGTACTCGTCATACTTTGGACACTGTGGATGGTGTGTGTACCTAACTAAATCTTGGTGAGTTTTGTCGCAGTTGGTGCCTGCGGAATGGAAGGCGGCGGCCGGGGGGGAGAGAGGAAGAGGAGGTTGGAGAGTCCGGGGACTTTCTTGGGACTTTTGGGCGTAAGGAAAGTCACAAGTGAGACTTCTTGTCGGCACTTTGGTTCTTCCTGTCAAGTTTTCCTCTTTCACCATCCAGACTCAAGTTTTTCTGCAAATGGAGCATGGATAGTACATGTCGATGAAATCCCCTCCGACACCCTCTTTGCACGGGTGTTGGATCTATTCAAGCAATGATGCATGGATCTCAAGTCACCTTCTCACAACACCTCTCTCCTTGACGGTACACCATCACCGGCACCGCCATCTCAGTGGCCAGAAGATCCCTATAATCCGCCTACAATCGATCAGTCGCATGATGTTGCCCTGGTGATCAGAGTGCTCAATCAATCCTACAATTGCCATGGCGTCTATCATTCAAAGATCTTGCTCTGGGGCTCCCCGGGCTCTGGGTATGCAAGTACCAATCTCTGTTCGTCCGTCGGTGCTAACTACTGACCAGCAAGCGCCGCATTGCCACTGAAGCTGCCCTGCAGTTTTCCGCCCGGACGGGCTGCAAAATCCTCTGGATAGATGGCCGATCGTTTGAATGTTTTATCCGCGATTATCGAGCGGCGTACACCATCATCACCGGCGAGAATCTCCCTCGGGGCCTCACATTAACCCATACACTCCTGAAGATCAAGTCCACCCTGGAAGCTCGCCGGGATGAGTCACTCATCGTCGTCTTTGACTTGCAGTTCTATCTCGAAGAGGACGTGGAGACCGCACTGAGTACACCCGATCTCTTTCTCCCAGACCGGTGTCGTATTCTCTTTACGTCTTCCTATGTCATCCCCTCGGAATGCGTCGGCGGTAACCGAGATTCCTCTGTAACATGTGGACTCAAGCTTGCCAGACGAGCGATATGCCTGTATGTCGGCGGACTCAACGAGGAACAAGGCATGCAGTATTTCAGGGCTTCGGTGCCGCATAGTAACGATGCAGTCGACTGTCTCCGCGCTTTTGGGCACAGAGACTCATGGCAAACCACGCCACTTTGCCTTGCACTTTCTTGTGCTTGTATGCGCTTGCTGCAGGTCTCCCCGAAACATTTCCATCAATTATGCGCACACAAAGCCCGGGAAGGCTGTAGTCCATCATGGCCTGGCTACAGTCCGATCTTTTCGGACATCATGTCTATCCTGTGGGACGCTCTCAATGACTATGATGTTGCTGCAGGACGGCTGTTGGCCATATGCTCAATCGTCGATCGAGTCGCCATTCCCGTTCCTCTGGTAGAAAAATTCCCGATATTTCAGAATAATCGAGAGCGACTCGTTTCGGCAATCGATATCCTTCGTCTGAGCGGGTTAGTTGAGATACACCGTGGAGCCGGGCTTGAAACAATCAACCTTCACCTGCAGGTGCAACGATGGCTGCAACTCAAACGTCGAAGGATTGAGGACAAACAAGAGCTTACGGATCTTGTCCACACATGGGTCTCCGTGCTCAGCGACTATCTATCCAAACCCAAAGACGAGCTTCGGAAGAATGATCCCATCTTCGATGCTGAGAAATTCTGGCGGATGCTCGCTCATGTCACGTCGCTTTGCAGTCTCAAATCACGGCAATCTCGGGAGCTGTGCAGCATGCAATACATGGCTTTCTTAAAGCATGTCGCCATTTTCCTTGTCGATGACGGTTTCTTTGTAGGCATGGCGTGGGCTGCTGTAACTCATGCTTTAAGCATGTGCACTTTTTTACAATCTCGGCAAGTTCATAACTTGGAATTGGACCGTGAGTACGTCCACATTCGACAAGTAAGGGCCAATGCCTACATGAATATGTCGGAGTATGGTCAAGCCGAGATTGAACTTCGGGAGGCCAAGCGAGTTCTTGGTCGTCGCCTATCAGGCTGCGCGGACAGCACACAGACATTGCGCGAGATGCAGGACACGGAAGCATACCTGAGTGTCGTCCAAGGGAAATGGCCGGAGGCGGGCCGAATGCTCACTGAATTGCTAGCCTACCCCGAACCCAATGCCGAACCGTCCAAGGTCGCACAACGACATTATTGGATGGCGAAACAAAAAGCGGCTGTGGGTGCAGATATCAGCGCATTGGAACATTCGCAGTAAGTATGCCCTGAGACGGCTGCTGGGCTATCGAAGCCGGAGTTTCGGTGGCTCTCATCCACCACTCGGATGCTAACTGCAAGCTAGCATGACCATGTCTTACTGGAGAGATTTACCCTACGAAGAACAATGGGGCTTCAAGGATAGCAGGCGCCTGTACTGGGTGGAGAAACACATGCTGAATCTAATGAACCTGAGGAAGTACAAGGGTGCTCTTCTCCTAGGCACACGACTGCTGCAGAGAGCGCATGAGCTTACGCCTCTTCTTGGAGCCTCTGTGTGCCGCTTGACATATCGAGTTGTGTATTGCCAATGCATGCTCGACAAGGTGGACGATGCCGAAAGCGCTGTGTGTCGACTTCTTGATCTGCCATCACACGACAAATACGGAGATGACACTACCCGAGCCTATTTGCTGTATACGTTGTATGAGCTTGCGGTAGTGCTGCAACGCAATGGCAGAGCCGTGGAAGCTGAAGGCTTGTACAGATTTAACATACAATCAGCCAAGCTCTACGACGTCAAGAATCTGAGCGGCACTGAAAAGTATGACAGCTGGCGTGACTACCTACAATTGGTCATGTGTCTCGTTGAGCAGGGAAAAGTGCTGGAAGCCAGAAAACTCAGGGAAGAATATGAGTATGAGAACCCAGACAAAGAGTTTGCGGACTCGATCATCCAAAACAGCTGGTCGGCCTATCGACAGTCGAAGGAATTGTACGAGAGAGCAATCGAGGCGGAGAAAAGTGGAACCGCTTTGGAGTTCAAAGCATCTGTTGATTTGGCTGGAACTCGGTCAGCATTGAAGCGGGCGGTAAAATGGTTCGGAAGCCCAAAGCATCGGCTCGAAGAGGGACGGGACTTCGAGAGCGACATCGATTTGCACCACATCGGCCGGGCAAGGAATAGCCGTCTTCTCCAGCTTCTGCATTTTCCCCTCGTCTACCTGGCCTTCGTCGATAGACGCTCTGGTGCTCTAGGCTACGATTGGCAGAACACCGAGTTTTTGTGGGCCAATCTCCAACAAAGCGTTCTTGGGCAATATTGGAAATGGTGTGAGTGTAGGAGGAAGAGACGACGCAGCCAAAGTGTCCATGAATCAGATGAGCCTGTTGTCACGCCAAAAGGTGACAGCGACGACTCCGAACGGAGGCTGAAACAGAAACTCATCACAGACTGGACGATACGAATGCCGGATATGAGCAAGGCTGTCCTGGAAAACTGCGCCCCCTCTTGTCCATGCATTGAAGCCAATAAACGGGGTCTGCTGGAGACATCTGCGCTAGAATCGAAACTCTTCTTATGGAAAGAGCCGACAGGAGAAAATCGCAAATCAAAAAGTCAATACAGATTCCGGAACCCTAAACCAAGCCGATCTCCGATCCCCAGAGAAGAATTATTTACTCTCCTCCAACCTAACACTTGGTTCTGGATCCAGCCTGAATTTGCGAATGGAGAGAGCGAGGGGGAGAATTATATCATTCCACGAGCGACTGAGATTCCCGGAATAGCCATCACACCCCCTGATGGTCAAGTGGATCTTCTGCCGCTCGCCACTGATCCGCAAGAGAGAGTGACAAAGTATTACAAGCGGGACTATGCGGCAGACTTTGCTTGTCTCTTGGAGAAACATGAGCGCGGGTGTTATAGACCGACACGGTTAGATGACATCTTGGAGGACGACGAAGAGGAGGAAAAATAGATGGTGGGCCATCGGGGTCAAGTCAGGGTTCTATGTGATTTCGTGGGACAGGAGTGTTCTGGAGGAGGCCATCATTGCCGCAAGGGCGGCGCAGTCCATGTACGACGGAGGACCCAAGAGTACTGGGTACCCCAAGAATACAACGCGTTCCAAGAGGATGCGAAAGGAGGCAAGGCTGACAGTGACAAGGCTGCACTTCACGCCCTCGCGCCCCTCGTCTCTCGCACTCTTGGCTCTTGGCATGACGTCAGTGTCGATATTCGACGGCAAAGTGACAAGACGATGAAACCTTGCGAGAGGCTCGGAGCATCTTTCCACCAGACAAAGCAGAATTCCCGAATACGATCACTCCATGTCCAGAATCTCCGGTCGCTCTCACACCATCCTCGCCTTTTGCTGCTGATGGGAACAGGATGCTCAGCGCGTTCGTGAATCTATAATGTCTCCAATTCATGATCGGTGCCCCTCCACCCCAATGTCTTCTTCTACACAGCCTTCACTTCTTCCCTGTCGTATTCTACATATTCTGTTTCCATGCTCGTAGCCAAGTTTTTATGATTTTCCATTATGACTTGACCCATTCATGGCTACTTCGCATCTGCCTCATCCACTGAACCTGTCCTCGTCGCCCCCCATCTTCATCCTTCCAACCCACCTGAAGCCACAAGAACTTCACGACACAGAAGACCTGATCTTTCAATCCGGAGGCCACTTGACGTATGATGCCAAAGAGGCAAGAGTATTCATAGGCCGGGTCGCCCAGAAGAAGCGCGCTGCTTTTGATCTGCGGGCCAGGGGAGTATGGACTGAAGAGGCAGCCTTGCCCGAGGTCAGTTCCAACCGGAATGAAGATCGTGAACCGGCAGCAGAGGAAGGCCCAGAGAGGAAGAAAGCCAAGCTCGCAGACCATACGAGGAATTCCCGGCCTTCAACAAGGCGGCGGCGGCCCAGCTCAAGCACAATCTCGGCCTCTTCAGATGTATCTCAGAACAATGCTGCCTCTCCACCGGCCCAAGTGCTCTGGCCTGATCTTTCCGCCCACATTCTCATTCTTAAACTCTCCTGGCTGGAAGCGTGTCTCAAGGAGGGCCATCTGGTTCCATACCGACCTTACGTTGTCTATACTGCAAGAGTCATCCCTAAACCTGCTGGCGAAGTCTCTCCAAAATCGCAAGTATCCCTGTCGGCATACTTCAAGGTAGGATCCGGATCCCAGTCGCAAACTGTCACATCACGAAGAGCATCCAAACCGGCAGTGTCAGCATCTATCCTAGACCGCGCAAAAGCTGAAGCAGCAACTCTTCCCTCCTCGTCTCGCCGCCGTTACGGCGATCATGCACACCACCACTCTCTGGCACAGACGACCACCACCAAAACCAAACCTAACCTTCACCGCACTACTACCTCCGAACTTGAATACCAAGCCGAGCATCCTCTACCTCCTCTTCCAGAATGGGCAGTTGGCCCACATGCGCCTTACGCGTGCTGCCGCTCCACATTCATGCACTCCCCCAACGATGCCTTCATCGCCCAACTCACCAAAATAAGGGACGCTCGCACACTCACGCTGGATGATATCGGTGTCCGCGCCTATTCGACCTCGATCGCCTCGATCGCCGCCTATCCATATCACATTACTCAGGCCGAGGAAATCACTCGCTTACCCGGGTGCGAATCAAAAATTGCAGCACTGTGGCGTGAATGGGAAGACTCGGCTCCGCCGGAAGCCGACGATTCGGAAAGATTCATCCAAGTCGTCCGCGACTCGGACGCTGATCCGGACCTTCAACACCTCCGACTGTTCTGGAATATCTGGGGTGTCGGGCCGGAAACGGCGAGGAAGTTTTATTTTGAGCATGGCTGGAAGGATATGGATGACGTGGTGGAGTTTGGGTGGTCGACATTGACTCGCGTGCAGCAAATCGGAGTCAAGTATTATGATGAGTTTTTGCAGAAGATTCCCAGGAGCGAGGTGGAGTCGATCTCGAACGTGATTCTGCGGCATACACGATCTGTTCTTGAGATCCCAGAGCAGAAGTATGGCACGAAGGAGGATGCAGAACTCATCATTGTCGGCGGATATCGACGTGGGAAGGAATTCTCGGGAGACGTGGACGTCGTTCTATCGCATCGAGACCATTCCAAGACCGAAAATTTAGTCGTGGACGTGGTGAGGAGTCTCGAGTCGGAGGGGTGGGTTACGCACACGTTGACGCTGAATACCACCACTAGTGATCGTGGGCAGACAACGTTACCATTCCGAACCGGCCACGGGCACGGCTTCGACAGCCTGGATAAGGCGCTCTGTGTGTGGCAGGATCCCAATTACGAAGGCAAGGACCCAGAAGCGGACGAGGATGCAGCCAGGAAAAAGAACCCAAACATCCACCGCCGCGTCGACATTATCGTCTCGCCCTGGCGCACCGTCGGTTGTGCCGTGCTCGGCTGGAGCGGGGGCACGACCTTTCAACGGGACGTGCGACGCTTCGTGAAGAAGACGCACGGCCTCAAATTCGATTCCTCGGGCGTGCGCCACCGTGGGAACGGACTCGTCCTGGACCTCGAGGCGCCCAGGCCAAGGGGGAACAAGGACGCCGTGGAGATGGTCCTGATGGGCAAGACTCTCAAACGGAGCGATTTCGACGCCGGCGACGAATGGGACGATCAGGATACCTGGTCGGATCGTGAGAGGAGGCTCATGGAGGGGCTGGGCATTGGGTATAGGCCGCCCGAAGAGAGATGCACGGGTTGAATATCCAACCATCTTTAGTTTTCCTTCTTCTTTAGATTTATGGGAAGGGAGGCGAGTCTGCGGATCATTCTCATCAATCTGGCATGCACGATACGGTACATACCCCCTTGATCGAGGCTCAGTGTGCTCTTTCATTGCGAGGGAGTGCATGCATGCATCTCACCAATTCAGAACTTTGACGACTCCAGTGGGTTGTGACGAGCTTTGACGAAAAGGAATTCGCGAGCGATGAGACATGGCAAGACAAGGAATACATGAACATTAGACATTGCACACATCGATCGAGAGGTTCGCATTTCATACCGAATTTTTCTATCACTCCCCAGCCAGAAAAGACCACTTTTCGATAATCTACAGCCCAAAGAGAGGTATACATCCCTGACGGTAGTGTTCGCGCTCCTAGAGACCTTATTCTCCTGAACCAAGATGTGGTATCATCTCTTCTTCTTCCCGATACTTGTGTCCACACTGCCCACCAACCAAGCCAGCGTAAACACCACAGCTGATCCAGTAAAGATAGTGACGGGTTTCCTGAAAGCCGCCAGGAACGGATACTCGTACGTCACCAGGACAGTAACATCTCTTGCCTCATCAACGACATTGTAGGCCGTCAACTTCAACTCCGTTCGGCCCAAGGTGTCCATGAACGTCTTGTGGTAATCGTACTCGGCATACAGACGAGGCACGCCTGTTCCGCCGTGAGTTTGCCATTGGACGTTTATTGCGCCTTCGGGAAGGATGACGCGGAAGACAAGCTTCTCGTATTGAATGCCTTCTGGCATTCTAGGACCTTCCAGAAGTGGGACCGAGAGGATGTACGTATCGGATTTAGTCTTGAGTTTGCGGAGGGCAGAGGAAAGGGCATTGTTCCAGCCAATACGGAAGCTATACTTCCATCCCCCGAACAGAGGGTAGCGAGGTTTGAGCTCCAAGCTAGCTTCTCGGACGTTATTGGGCCTGAAACGTGAGGTCGAGACGTTTCCAATGTCGTCGGTGAAATAGGGATCGACAGTGCCTGGTTTCAGCGGTACTTTCAGTTCCCTGAGTGCTGACGTAGATCCCTGTCCTGCGCTGATGTAGAAGCTCTGCGTACTCCATGCCAGGCGGGAGAATTGATTTGAGAGCGTAGCGCCGTCGTGACGAAGCCAGTATCTTTCTTCAGTCGCCAAATTACCTCCCCAGTGGGAAACTTCAACATCTCGTTCAAGCAGGCTGCATACGAGGAGGGGCTTGTTGAATTCGTAGCGCACAGTCACGGGGTAGACTGTGCCTGGTTCGACCTTGGCCGTATCGTAAGGACCATATGTGAATGATGAACCCTGCTTTTCTGGATCGGTGGCTGATGTCAAGCCAGTCGTGGTGCTGTACTCGGGGACATCTGCGGAGGGGATCTTCACTTTTGTTTTTTGCTTTTGTGTCCTATAGACCGTGGGAACGTAGGCGGAGAAATTGTAGACAAGATATTGCTTGTCTTCCTGCTTGATAGAGGCGGGCAAGGGCGTCAGAGCACCCAGCACGTTCCATGAAATCGAGAGCGTGATGGTGCTTTTAGATGGCAGCGGTTCGGGGAGGTGAATGATATAGTAATGAATAGGTCTAGAAGAGTCAGCCAACGTTACCAGTGCGCCAGCATACATTCTGCATACTTTGTGGCTCTGCCCTGATTGTCTGATTTATTGTCGAGCTCAGCAAGGGTGACTTCCAATGGAATCTCTGGCTTCTTCTTGTCCCGGGCGTCAAACCCGCCAATCTTGCCTATCAAGTCATATTCCAAGGGGACATAGTAATGGTATTGTGGTGACTTGTCCGTGTTTGTGACCAGCACGTTGGTGGTCTCCCTCACGTAGCCTTTCTCGAGGTTGATGGTGCGAACAAGGTTGGTGTTCTCGAATACTTGGGGAGGTTCAGAGTCGACAATTAATATCTCTTTCGGGGACCAATGCTCTGTGAGATTTGACTCTGCCCCAAATACTCCGGTGCATAGCGCGAGAACCGCGCCCACCACCGATGATAGCCTCATTCTCAAGCCTTGAAGAGAGAGGTAATCAAGGCCGCATCGTCGTTGTCGACCCAATCTGGCCAGCGTGGAGAAGGGGAGAAGGCTGCGCCTGCGGAGTTTCAAATGACAACAATGACGACTTGTTCTCAATACGGTGAAACATTGTCTGTATAAAGCGCAACAGATGGTACGGAGAATCATAGCACTTCATGAACACCCTGACATTGACTCCTCTTTCATTGGTGGAAG